GAAAAATTAATTTGGGGAATTCTGAGAATGATACGATGGTCTTTGTCTTTTGAGTAAAACCCCAAATCACCATAAATAAAACCCAGAGTCTAAGTTCCTAGGACCTATGCTGCATGCATCTAGGGTGAGCGAGGAGAAGGAGAATTTATCAGACACAGAAACTGGGATTTCTGCCCTTACAAACACAACTAGTGATTCAGAAGAGAACAGAACTCCAAGAACCATGAGGTTACCAAGCCACCAGAAGAAACTCAGCTCTTGGTAACCTAGGAGACAGGTGCCCAGGGCGCTGCAGCCCAAACGGAGAAGTGCCATGGCTAAGGCTTAATGGCTGCCCACGGTCAAGGGGTGGTAGGGGGTGGGTAGTGTAGGGGTAGCCAGGGGAGCTTGGGGATAGACTGGGTGCCATGGAAATGATCAGGAAGACTGTAGGACCTAAGTCCTTCCTGCTGGTTGCCTAGGTCCTAGGGGGGTTGTTCCTGCTGGAGATGTAGCAAGGTGACGATGGGGATCGGGGGAAGGACTTCCAGCCCTAGGAGACCCGGACTGCATGGATGGTCACCTGACACTGAGCACTTCATGCCTAAAAGGCACAGGCAAGGAGCTGAAATTAGGGGGGGTAAGGAGCTGAAATTAGGGGGATCAGCCATCCTGGTATGCTACGACTCTTTGTTTTTTAAAATCTTATTAAAAAAAAGTCCCTATTTTAATTTTTACCAACTGTCCCTAAAATTGGCTTTCTGTTTTAAAACAAGGACAGTCTTGGCAGAACTGGGATGAGCTGTTATCCCAAGAGAAATAAGTTTTCAGTGTTAAGCAGATTGTATTTTAGACCAGAAGCAAAACAGCATGGTCCTTAATTCAAACCTAAAGTGGGGTGCAGTGTCCAGGCCTAGGCTTGATACATTTCACCCAAGACAGGATCTTTAAGGGAACCACACCCTAATGTCTCATGTAAAGCAGCACCCATGCCTACTGACCTGTTCCCATCTCAGGGAGGCTTCATTTGTGCCTTGGGTCACCTCTCCTCAGATGCTCAATTCTCTCCAGCTCCCTTCCTTTGAGTGCTGGGGTGACTACCAGCAAGTTCTCCAACCTTCTCTAAATGGGAGGACTGTAGATTCTTTCTTTTACCTGTCAGTTCACCCTGGGACCTAAGAAACCCACCATCTACAGGATTTCCTGTCTGTGTTCCCCTGGGAGGCAAGGTCTGCAAGAGATGCAAAACCCTTCACACGCTGGCTGCAAGGCCCACACAAAGGAAGTCTTCAATGCCAACTCATCCAAACCCAAGCCCCCAGTATTAGGAGCTGGGGACAGTGTGTGTGAGGTGATTTTAGGTCCTGAGGGTGAAGCCTTCATGAAAGGGACTAGTGCCCACATCATTAAGAGGGCCCCAGAGAATCCACCACCTCTTCTGCCTTATAGAGACCGAGGGAAAAGGTGCCACCCAGACCCAGGAAGTGGGCCCTCATCAGACACGGAATCACCCAGTGCCTGGTCAGCACCGGCCAGGACTGTCAGCAGGAACTCTGTGTTGCTCTTCTGTGATATTCTGCCACCACAGCCTTTGAGACATAAAGTCCCACTGGGAGAGAAAGCAATGTGACTTACATGCACGTTTTAAAAATAGCATCTCCAATAGAAATCCGCTCATCTGTATGTCCACCCAGGTGTGCTCAAACACTGCACGGACTTTGTCCTTTCTAGGCCTTAGTTCCCTATCAGGACTAACATTTCTAAAACTGCTACAGTTTAAAGGAGTAAGAGAAAGACACTAAAAAATAAAGACTGCAGTGCAATAGTCTTTGTTTTTTTTTGACCCTGGGTCTGGCTATGCAGCCCAGACTAACCTCAACTTGAGGTCTTCCTGCGTTAGCCTCCTGAGTGCTGGGATGACAGGTTTGCCATCAAGCCCAACTGTGCAATGCTTCTTAGAACTGTGGGTTTCAAATTTGAACATCAGAATCCCCTGTAGGGCTCTTGAGAGCAGTGGGCAAGGCTCTTGCCCCTGGGTATCTATCTGCTTCAGGGAATCCAGGCTGGGCCTACATTTGCAGGGAGGCTGATGCTACTGGTCCTTGAGACCTCACTTTGAGAAACACCATGCTGGAATACAGTGCCCTCGTGCAGTGAACAGGAAACATGTGGACATGTCTCAAACATGACTTGGGTTTCTCTTAGATACTGGCTTGAAGGCGTCACATGGCCTTTAAGCCCACATCAATCTGCTGTGCTTGGAAGAGGGCGCTATTTGTGGAAGAGGGCGCTATTTCAGTCTCTTCTGAAAAGCTTAGTCTGGCCTCCCATCTAGGGTGGGGCCTGGCCTCTGTCTGCCTGGTACTGGCTCTCCACAGCACTGCCCAGGCAGACACCTGTCCAGCCTGTGTAGCACTTCAGGCAGGGCCTTTTCTCTTTCTCAACCTGTGTCTGCCAGAGGTCCCCAAAGCGGTAGGTGTCAGTGACACAACAGATATGCCACCCCCAGGAAAGAGTAAATATTCAAAATGTAAATATTCAAAACACACACACACTCTCAGGCTAGCTGAGCCAAGAGGGCATCCTTCGCTACCTACCTGTGTCCAGTTTAACCTGTGCTCTTTTGGCCTCTCTCCTGGCCACCCTGTGAGCTGGCTGGAACCTACGTTCCTGTTTTTCTGGGACACATCAGCCAGTCCTCACTTGTGGAGGGGGCTGCAGTGGCACTGAGTGTGACTCTAGGCCTCACCTCCTACTTGTCAGGCTCTTTATTTTCCTTAAGTCCCACCCTGTTCTCCTCCAGAACGTTCCACCTACCGTGTATAACCCTCTTTTTGTGGTGGAAACCTCCCGTTTTACCTCTCCCTTGTATCTTTTGACCCAGGTTTCTTGATGCCACAAGTTCCAAGTTCTAGAGGCCGCTGTGTATTTCAATGCGGGCTACTGGAAGCTCAGTTTTCATTAAGGTGGGCGATTTAGACTCCATGCAACTGTCAGGGACTCTGAGGAGAAACCTTAGCCAGTTGGTTTGACAGCCCAGCAGCTATCTGCTCCATCTGCCAGGTTTTAGTTACCAGCCTTGAAGCCAAAAAGCAATCGGTTTCTTGGAAACAAAAGTGATGGAATTTGGGTTGTGAATTATATAACTCACCAGCGTTCCTTGAACTCTGCCAGGATTCTTTAACATAAAGAGAAGTTTTTAAGACAAAGAAACAAACCAGGAAGCACCACAAACACCTCTGACCCAACAGCTTGTGCCTGCCTTTCTTTTCCTCTGCTTCTAGCCTGAGAAATTAAGTGCTGCAGCTTTAAGAGCGGGAAGGTGTTGTTTTAAGGGCCCCTGAGCCCCCCTTCTCAATTTCAGTACCGGGCTGACATCACATCCCCCAAGGCAGCCAAGGGACAAAAGCCATTTATCAACCCATCTGATAAAACTTCCAGTAGGTTGGATCTTTATCTAGACCAAACCCGGGTGAACACAAACTGCAAACTCCTGCTTCTCCAAAAGGGGAATTTCTTTTTTTAAAAAATGAGAGTGATTTTAATTTTTAAAATCTGGCCAATCTGGCCAAATTCTTAAGTAGATGGGAAACTGTCTTTTAAGACAACAGAGGTCCCGGGAGGACTGGGTGCTCCTGGACCCTCTGTGAGGTTTTGATATTCAGGGGTTCCTGGAGGCCGAGGCTCTCTGGGACACTGCCACCCCTTCTTGCCTGTGGCAGGGTCTCTCCTGTGCAATCTAGGGCTCTGGAGCAGGCCAGGCACTGGGGACCTCCAGCAGGGTTGGGACTAGAGGGTAAGCAGAGCCCAAGCCCCCATAATGCTCTCAGTCTAAGGAGGGCGCCCACTGGGAACCCCAACTTGTAGCCAGGCCCAGTCAGGGTTGCCCAGATCCACCAGTTCCTTGAAACCCAGTTGGCTGAAAAGCAAATCAAAACAACCCAGTCCGAGCCTCACTCAAGTCCCTTCTTGCAGCTCTGGGCTGTGTACAGAGGCGGCAGATTTGCCTGGCTGCCTTGTGCAACCAGCTGGAATTTCTGCAGAGAGACACCTCTGGGCCCCGCCACGCAATGGAGAGGCAGCCAATCCGCCGTGCTCCGAGGACCATTTCGCCAGGGACACTGTGTTTATTTGTATTTTCAGCGCAAGAAAAATGGGTATAAAAGTTTTAACTGGCATATCCAGGCTGTGAGCAGCATATGGCAAAAGTGAAATAGTTTTATGAAACATAAAGAAAACACACTGGGGATTTAAGTTTCGTGCCTTCCCTCTCCCTCTGAAAGGGGAGAGAGAGTGAGAGAGAGAGAGAGAGAGAGAAAAAGTAAAGAAACCGGAGCGTTCGGGAAGGAACAAATGCTTCTCTGTGGAGTTGGTCTCCCTTCCCCCAACAAAAACAAGAGGTCCGGGCTCCGAGGAATTTGAAAGCAGCGATCTGCCAAAAACATTGTGAAAAACTATGGGGGATTCATTGGAAACAGATGGGCTTTTTCAGCTTTAATTCTGAAATTCTCTGCCTTTCTGACACAATAAAAACAAACAGGGGGCGACACGGAATGTAATCAAAAAGGAGTACGGGCTCATCTGAACCGGCTCGGTGGGCTTGCCCGCGTGGGGAAGCGCGTGGGGCGGGACGGGGTCCCCGGGAGGGGACCTCCCGGACGGGACGCCCCGTCTGCACCCCGGGCAGCCGTCAGGTTTACAAACCGGTGGAGGAGGAGCTGGAGCAAAGTGCGCCTCGCTCCCCTTCTCCGGACCCCCTCGAGGCGCGTCCAGGGCACCCTCCTTCTTCCTCGGGAGCAGGCTAGCGGCCCGGAGGTCCCCTCGCCCTCTCCTGCCCTCGGCAGTTCGGGCGCGACCTCCTTGGGTCTCCACGGGCACCCATCGTGCCCTCGGCGGGGCAGCCGGGGAACAAAGGCCCAGGACAGGGGAGACCGGGGTCCCGGGGGGCCGGCTGGTGAGCCCCGACTGGGTCTGCGGGAGGCCCCGGCCGGCTGTCCCCCGGCCCGGGCACAGTGCCTTACCTGCGGGGAAGCTGCAGAGGAGGAAGGCGAGGGTCGGCCAGAATCCCAGGGCTGAACGTCCTGCCCCTCTCCCCATACCCATCCATCCAGCTCGGCCTGTTACCACTAGCCTCTCCCTGGAAGAAGAGTTGAGGAGAAGAGAAGAAAATGAATCGCGCTGCTGCGGACGCTGCGCAGCCTCGCTCCACCGGCGGGAGCTGCGAGCCCGAGGCTCGGTCCACCTCGGCGGCCCGCGGGCGCCCGGCGCGGCCCCTCTCGCCCGGCCCGCGCCCCGCCCCCGCCGCCCGTCACCCCCCCCCCCGTGCCGGCCCCGCCCTCGCGCGCTCGGGTTTCAGCGCGGCCTGGGAGGAGGGCGGAGGCCGCCGGCTGCAGCTGCGGCGCTCGCCTCGGGGACCCCGGTGCCGAGAGCGCGGGGCGCGACCCTCGCGTCGCCTGCCCCGCGGGAAACTCCCGGCAGCGCCCCTGCCCGGGCGGGGGGCGCAGAGCCCCGTAAATACCCTCGGGGAGGCGGAGAAGCGGCCGGGTGAGCAGCTCCGCCCGGACGGCCGCACGTGTCCCCGGAGCGGGAGGCTGGAAAAGCCGCTTCCGAGTGGCCCTGGTCTGCGCCCCCCGGTCCCTGCCCGCCGCCCGCTCCGTCGGGGCTCGCCTGCCTCTGCATCCCTAGGCCCCTGCCATTGTCTGCCTCCGCGGTTCCCGAAGACTGTCCCGGCGCCTTCCCCAGCTGGGGACCTGCGGGAGACCTGCGGGCGAGGCGCGGCTACCACCCCCGGGCAGATGCGGTGCCGAGGCCCCGGGGGCGCGCGGGAGCAATTTACAAGGCGGACCTCGGGCGGGCTCGCGTGACCTCCCTTAACTCGGTCGCTTGTGTTCTCCGGGAGAAAGACTGTCTCCTCCCCGAGGTTCCCAGGCCTTACGCTGTTATGGTATTTAACCGACTGGCGACTCCCCCCGCCCCCCAACATCGTTGGGATGAAACGCGAGTAAGTCAAAGCGCGTGTTTTGAGCCAAACAGTGTCCCCTCGCCTCACTCCCAAGCCTGCTCACCTGGTTCTTGGGCGGAGTGGGGGTTGATCTGTTATTTTAAAACCTATTTAGATGTTTCTGTTAAGCACTATCACAGTCCTCAGTTGCCCCAGGCCACACACGCTGCAAGGCTGCGTTTGCCTTAGGACTCTGCTGCCCGCAAGGGCTGGGTGAGGCCTGCCCTGAGAAAAGGGGAGAAGGCCCTGTGTTCCGAAGACTACACAGGGGAAGCCCAGCTTCAAAACAACAACAACAACGAAAAAGCGGACTACTGTGCAACGGGGCACCAAGAACCCGTTTTTTTTTTTTTTTGTCTTGTCATAAAAATTCAAGACAACTTTTACTTTACAGCGGGGTGCCCCCGTAGTTCTTTCAAATAGTCAGGTCTCAGATCAACAGGCTCTAATTATTTTCCCAAACTGAGACTTATTTTAGGGAGGCTTTTTGCATAATGTGGTTTGCAAAGTGTCACAGGTTGGTCCACGGAGAACCCACCATCTCAAAATCCAGTTATCTAATGGCATTGCTTTCCAGCGCGCTAGCCCCAGGGCCAGACGTAACCATTTACTATGCAGAATCACGGCCCTGTTCATTCCGGTAGCAACCCTGGCACACCGAGGCAGGCTTGGAGCCAGATTGCTAGAGGCACCGTGCTAGCCTTTCCACCCCCCACCCCTTCAGCAATTAACACCATTTGCTGGAATCTGTCTTTTCCGAGCTTGTTCTAAAGGCTTTCGATAATGAGAGAGAAGAGATCCATTAGCGCTCCCAGCAGCGCAGCCCTTAATTAACCATCGTGCACCAGCAGAGTCTCCAGGTCAGAGACCAGGCTGGGAGATCCCTGCAGCCCGAGCCCTTCCCGAGCTGCCCAGTCTCGGTTCAACCAACTTCTTGAATTTGAGAGAAGCACCTCATTTTATTCACCTAAACAGATTAGGCTAATATTGTCCCCTCAAACCGGCAAATGAATACAACCCAGGAGGGGCCCTGGGCCTGGGAACTTCTCAGCAACTTTCCCATACGATTGGCTGCCATAGTGGGAAAAGACTGGGGCCAGATAATTTGAGAAAGGGATGTAAAGCCTCCTTCTCCCACCAAGAGAAATGTAACACACTGAACTGAACTTTCCCAAAGTGGGGATGTGGTCACAACACAGGGTTAAACCCTCAAGAGAAATCCAGCCCCAAGTTGGGCAGTATGGGGTTGTGCTGGTTTGGGGGACTCTGTCTCTGTTGGCCAAAGTACCCAACTTATGCAAAACTCAGTAACTTCAGAAGTAAGAATTCTTAGAATGCTGGATTTGGCGACTCAGCCCTGCATGTACTATGGAAACGCCTAATGCACTGTGTATCTAATTGGGACAAACAACTCCAGAGTCTATCAGCTTTCTTCCCCAGGTGGTGGTCTCAGCCCTGGAGCATTTCTCTTGGGTCCTGCTCCCTCTCCCAGGACCTGTGACCAGGGCTCAGTGACCCCAATTTTGCTGGTAAGAACAGGGTGTTCCCAGATCCCAGGATCTGAGCAATCAGTTCATAAGTAGATAGATATTCAACACCTACGGTGTGCTAGTCCCTGGGGTTAAGAAATAAATATAACATCTCCCACCCCTGTAGTTTGCAGGCCATGTATCTTGCAAAGGTCCAGGGTGATGCTACAGGAAAATGGCAGGACCTTTAAGAGGTGGGCCCAGTGGGTGGTCCTTAGTGCCCAGTGGGCGTGGCTTTGAAGGGGCCAAGAGAGCCTGGCCCTGTCCTGGTTCTCTTGCTAGCACTTTGCTCTACCCCATGCTCCCTACCATCGCCATTTTGCATGCCCATGCCAGCTCAAAGCCACCGGTCTACCTGGTCTTGCCCTGAACCCTCAAAAACTGTGAGGCGAGATAAACCTTTCCTCTTTGTAAGTTCACCATAACAACTATGTCATGATAGTGACAGCTAGCTGACAACAGCTCCTCTGTGTGAACCACTGGTAGAAGCAACAGAAAAAGGGTGACTGGGAAAAGAGACATGAGAAAAGAACCGTTATCAAGAGTACCACGTCTTCACACTTGGAGCCGTTAGTTCAGTGATCATTGTCAGTGGGCAGTGAGGACAGGCCGGGAGCCTAGTGTGGCTGATAAATGCAAAGCCCGTGCCAGTGTGCTGTAGGCATTCAGTGCCTCTGGCTTACAGTCAGGGCAGGACAGATTTCTTTCAGTAAAGTGTAACAGGCAGGCCTAATGGACACAGAACCTCGGCACCAGGGCCTCCATGGGGCGGGTGGCAGGGAGCCCTCCCAGTGTGGGGTGTGCCAGGGTGAGATGCAGGGGGAGAGGCAGAGCATTTGCAACAGGTCTGCAGAAGCTGGAGTAGGGAAGAGGCAGAGCTGGAGGAGAATCTGCAGTGGGGAGCCCCACCCAAAGCCTCCAGAGCAGAGGTTTCCTCTTTTGGGAGCTCACTGTGTGTGTGTGGGGAGTAAAAATAACACACACTGAGCCCCACCCCGGCAGCTGCATCTCAGTCTCTAGGGAAACAGTCCGGGGAAGCAGCTTTTTTTGAGCAGTGCTGGGGATCACAGCCAGGGCCTCCTGTGTGTGACCCAAGGGTGCTGCCACCGAGCTACAGCCCATGGATGTGAGCGTGTTTAATGAGCTTGCCCAGGTGGCACATGGGTAGAAGAACCTCTAGGTTCCTGCTTTCTAGAACCTGTGCCCTTCCATGGGCCCTGTGTTCACAGAATGTCCAGGCCCAATCAGTTTATCCTCCTGGGCTTAAAAGTGAAGGCAGAGCCGAGAGGACAGGCTCTTCAGTAAAGTCTGGAGTCACCGTAAGTCTAACATCTTCAGTAAACCCTGGCATGTCACTCACGCTGGACTCATTTTGTGACCTGCTTTAGGCAGATTAGAACCTTTCCTGAGATTGTCGATGTCGGGGAGCCCCCAGATGCAACACAGGATGAGTTTGGGGTTAGTGATCTGGGATGAAGGCAACTGGTGATGAGTGTTGGGGGCTGGGGCTGTGCGGGTAGAACTTCAATATTTATTTATCCCATAACATTTATTTATCTCATACTGGGGATCAAATCCAGATGCTTCTCACTGAACTGTAAGTCCTTAGCCCTCAAAAAAAAAAAATTTTTTTTTAAACTTTAAGGCAAGGCCCAGGGATTTAGCTCAGTGGTGTAAGCACCTGCCTGGCAAGCATGAGGTCAAGGGTTTGATCTCTAGTATGGAAAAAAACAACCCCCCCGCCCCCCCAAAAAGGGGGCTGGGGATTTAGCTCAGCGGCATAAGCGCCTGCCTTGCAAGCAGGCAGTTGTGAGTTCGATCCCTGGTACCAATAAAAAGACAAAAAAAAAAAAAAAAAAAAAAAAAAGCAAAAAATTCTGCAACAGGTTTATGCTATTGCCCAGGCTGGATCTGAACTTGGGATCTTCCTGCCTCAGCCTCCCACAGTGCTGGGGTTACAGGTATGCCCAACCATGCTCAACTAGCCATACTGTTTTTACTCAAATTGCCTTTTATCTCATGAACCTTGGGGCTGCTAGACATTTTCAGGGGTATTACCCCCAAGTCACATGTCGCCCCAGCAGGTCATCCTTGGCTTCTCTAGCTTGGGTCAAGTGATCCCTGGCTAACAGGGAAACAGTTTATGGTCCTGTACTAGTCCTAGGTATTTTGGCCAACAGGTGCAGCCACTGGCTCTTAGCCATAGTTCACTTAAAGCCACAAATTTGGTAACATGTCTCTGCCACCTTCTGTCCTCTACCTCCTCCCCCGAACAACTTTTGCTCCTACGATGTCATAAGGAACTGAGCTGCTTCAACTTTATAAGTGGGGCGGGACCAAGTCTTTTCTTTCCATTTATCCCTCAAATTCTTCCTCTGAACTTCAGGAGCTACCTTGGGGCCTGGTCGCCTTGGTGGGCTGGACTGGTCCTTGCTCATGCTCTCCATAACCTTCCAGGTCACAAGACTTTGATCACATCACCTTGCTGGCTTTTCTTTCCACGCAAAAGCTCTCAGGAGCAAAGCAGCCCTGCTATTGTGAAAGACTCTGCTCACCCTTCTGGCATTCTGAGATATTTGCTGCAGGGCAAGGGAATAAAACTGCCAG